GCCTCTTGGGGGGGGGTTGGCGCCCTGCCCCGCCCCGGGCCGAACTTCGGGTGCGGGTCCGGGACTGGGGGGGCGAGGCCCCGCTGGGTGCCCGGGGGCCGTCCTCCTTCCTAAAAGTCCTTACGCGCCTTCCCGGGTGCGGCGCGGCATTCCGTACCGCGGCAGCGCCCCAGCGTCGCAGCCGGCAAAGTTTGGGTCTAGTCGCAGGCTCTTCTGCCTAGGCCTGCTAAATTGTACCCGCTCTTCCCAGGCACCGCTTGGGCTGTGGCACCAGGTACTTGCTGCCGTTTCTGCACCCGCGCTGGGGTGTAGATCGGCAGTTACTTTTTGAAAGACATCTTGGTAGTTCAGGCTTTCCAGTTACATAATAAAAGATCATTACGTAGATCTTATAATTGATAGACGTACCAGGAATTTGTAATGTAACCTTGTTTCGTAAGGACTGACAGGTATTTTACAGAAACATGCATTTTCAAGGGAAGAAGGGGCTTTTTTTGGCAATGTTTGACTTTCCATGTACAGAAAGCCACAAGACTGTCCCTGATTATTATTTTCGGTACAGTAACAGTGGTTGAACTACGGTGTGTCTTAGATTGCAATGCAAACGTCGTCACTTTTTCTGCAAAGTCCTCTGCAACAAACTGTTTCATTTCCTGGAGTGTTTTAGTCTGTGAGCCTGTGTGACTGAATTTGCTGAAGTTTTCAGCAAATAAGAAAGCAAAGATAGAAATAGAGGACATTCATCTCTCCTGAGGTACGGGTACTTGTATTTTTTAACGATACCGGATTTAATAAAAGAAAATCTCAAAGCAAAAGGAGAAACTGATGCAAGGCACTTCCTCTTAACTGTCAGGTTGAGATCTATCTTTTAAAAATGTTTTGAAGTCTCGTGGTAGCTTTGGTATAGCAAAGCATGGCTTTGGCCCTGTTCATGTTTTTGTCTAGTAGTTGAAAATGTTTGGAGTGCATTAATGTTCCGTGTGGGAAGTAGGGATGCACTGCTGATGAGACAGCCGTGTCACAAAATACTCTAGTGTGATACTGTTTTGATTGGGGACTGCTACTTGGTTTGTCTAAGTAAGTATGTACAGGGTATTCTCAGCAATAGTAGGAAATAGTACTATTAGTAGTACTAGTGGAGATTCTCCTTACCTGATTCTTTAAGTATAGCTGCGTTAAGAAAGCACAGTTTAATTAAGTTTTGCTTTTAAGTTTTTGTTCTTATTGTATGAAAGATACTCTTACTACTCCACAAGAAAGAGAAAAAATGTAAAGAATTGTAAAAAACAAGAAATAAACCAAAAATACAGGAGGCAAATGGTTTTTCCCTGTGGCCTGTCTTGATTATAGTACTGTGAAAAGTTACATAACAAAAGTAATGTATTCTCATTTGCTGGAATCTTTTTTTAATGACATTTCAAGTGACGTGATATGTTAAACGTACTAGAATGAAAGACATTAGCTAAGGTAGACCTATTAATTGTTCTTGTAATTATTTAATACGCAAGTATAATTGTGGGCTTGATCCATTTATTTCTGACAGCTTAATTCTTCTTTCTTAAACTTTTCACAAAAGTTATGAAACGTGATTCTTTCATACTACTCCACTTTAGAGTTTCAGTTACTTGAAGAGCTATCTTGTTCTTGCCTCTACTACTGGTGGCAATAGGTGATTCACTTGAACGCTTCTACCTTTCTTTTCTCAATTGTAATCGTGCAAGGGTGATCACTAAACGCTTTGAGAGTTGTGGATGATGAGTACTGGGTAAGAGTTAGTGTTATTAGACAGCAAAGCAGTGAAAAGCACAAGAAGACCGATGGAATCATTGGTCTGCTAGATTTTACGGAACTCACTTTTTTTTTTTTCTTCACCGTTTATTCCTTTTCTTTATATAGATCTCATGAAATCTGAATAGTGACACCTGTAAGTTAACTTCTGAATGTTCCCTTGTAATAGCTTGTTCTGAAGATGAAATTTGTCTTCTGTATCTGTTGCAATACAGCTTCAGTTTTTCTCTTTTTTTTTTTTTTCCCCACAAAAGACAAGTCTTTGCTACTTGCTGTAATCTTATCTTTTTGTAAACTGTATACCATTTCTTTTATTTTAACTGTATGCCCATAAACTCCTGTATTGCTTTTGGTAATATTTCCCTTGATTTTATAAGCATCAGCTCTCAGCAAGGGCTTGGTGCTTTTGCTCTGCCC